AAGCTCTGTCTATTAGAGCTTTACTCACAGTTCAAATCTTTAGCATTAGAGGTGGAAACGGCGTCTTGCTTCGTTAGAACGAAGACGTCCCGATCTATGGAGATGGCTGTGAGCTCCGGCGGAGTTCACACCTACATCTCCCCGAGAGCCCTCAGGGAGACTAGGGAACTCTACGCCTACTCACCAGCAGCTCACCTTCTTCCCTTCGCCCGAGAAGAAGGCTGAAGCCGGCAAACAGCTGATATGCGCTGTTTTGCCGGCTTTTACATAGAACGCTGACGGGAGGCTGTCAGATTGCCTCCATCGGCCGCCGGCAGCCACCGGAAGTCAATCTTTATATTTAATTGTTACCTATCAAATTAATAAGAATTGTATTAATTTAGGTTGCAAAGAGAATATTATTGGAAGAAGAGAAAATCAAGCAAAGTTATAATGTGGATTTTGGAATATAGAAATTAACCGTTAGTGATTACTTTGTAAATATAAATCCAGACAACATGTTTACCAAATATCAAGATGTTTATATTAAAAAATCAATATTTTTTTTTAAAACAAAGATGTTAGTTTTTAGTGAGGCGTATGGCACTTTGCAATTCTATGCAATGAGTATTGCAAGATAGAAATATTGTAAATGCAGACTTTGATTTACAAGTCATGAGAGTTTCATACAGCATAAACAATTCTCTGCCTTAATGTGATGTGTGGACATAGATTCAAGATGGCAGCAATGACAGTATGGTTGATGACCCCTCCCCCCCTTTTTTATGGGCATTGCATGCAATGAATCCCAGGTTAGCAGGTCATCCTGGAAGAGAAGTTGAAGCAGGTGAAAACTTTATAAGTTTCCCACTCTGTTGGTGTCCTTCATTCACTCACGTTCTTTCCTGGTCCAGGAACTCTGAAAATGCTACCTTCAAGACGCAATGATGTGGACCTTGATTTCTTCCTGATGTTTAGTGTGGTAGATGAGAACGAAAGTTGGCACTTGGATGAAAACATTGCTTCCTTCTGCACGGAGCCAGACTCGGTTGACAAGGAAGAGGAACAGTTCAAAGAAAGCAACAGGATGCATGGTGAGCGCCCTCCTCTTTGCCTCCTGCTTTGATTGGGGCTAATGTTTTGCTTAATGAATAAGAAGGTCCCCAAAGAAGCAGACAAAAGTTCAAATTTTACTGTCCAGACATTGTTAAATACAGGGGAATTATTGTTCCTGGGAAAATATCTTGTCTAGCATATAAGAATATTTCATTTTTACCTAAGTATAAAGTGATTCTAAGAGGTTGATGAAAATACCACTAAGTTTATGAGAAGGAATCAATATGTTGAAAATGAATATTGCATCATCCGATACACTTTTGAGGACATTGCCCCTGTTGATCAGTTTTTGATGAAAAGAACAAATACCCAGGATTTCACTATTAAAGTTATGACACCCATATGATGGTGGTGCCTTTAATTTTCCAAATTTTAAAGGATATAACTTCAATAATGTACTGAAATGAAACTGATACAGATCATAGCATTTATCATTATGGGCTTAACTAGAGAGTTATTATTTAGTTCTCTTGACTCAAGCCTTCAAATTCTTGGTTTTGTCTGCACTGTACTCAAAATGTGATCATTTTTCCAGCACTGAAAGCAGCAAGTCAAAAAATAAAATTGATTGCAATTGTCTTGGGAAAGGATATTTAATTCTTCTTTTTAGATGGCTGGAAATGCTTTTGCACGTGTGTGGAAAACAAGGGTCAAAATGGGATTTTTGCTGTTATTCAGCTATCAAGAAACATATAAAACATTTGAAATTTTACAAAATAAATAAATAAAAGAGCCTAGTGGAAAAATAAACAGGTAAATGTTTGATATGTTCATTGTTTGGCTTCATTGCAGCTTTTGAAACTCCGGAGAGCCTGTGTGAATTGGAGGAGGTCTTTATAGAAACTAAGTTCACAATGTATTACTATCATAAATATAAAATGTCATAAAAATAAAACCTAAATAACACATATATTTTGAATAGAGAATTGAAATATTCTTCACTGGCTTTAGTTTTTAAGGAATGTACAACTGAATTTGCATTTCCCCAAATTCCATATGTTTAAGTTGGGTCAACATAAAGTCCCATCTAATATTATCAAATGCTTTCTGCGCATCAACAAAGATCAGTGCCATTTGTTTTTCATTATGCGATTCATAATATTCTAGCGTGTCTAATATAATCCTAACCTTATATCTTATTCGCCTTTTGGGCAAGAAACCGTTTTGATCAGTATGGATAAATTCAGCTAAGTATCTTTTTAATCTTTCTGCCATTATTGTCATAAAAATCTTATAATCCGTATTTAATAGAGAGATAGGCCTATAGTTTTTGATGAGAGTTAAATCAGAATCTTCTTTAGGTATTAGCATGATGATTGCTTCTTTCCATGAATTTGGGGTCTTTGCTGCTTTTAATACTTCATTAAATATATCCAATAGGGTTGGGCCCATAAGTTCTTGAAGATTTTTATATATTTCGGACGGTAATCCATCAGGGCCAGGTGTTTTATTGCTTTTTTGTTTTTTAATTGCTTCTATAATTTCCTGGAGTGTTATGTCCTTATTTAATATATTTTGAAATTCTTCCAGGACCTTTGGCAGTTCGGCATTCATAAGATACTGTAGTATTCTTCCTTCACTAATCTTTCCATCGTCTTTATAAAGGTTTTTATAGAATTCATACGTCACATGTTTTTTCTCAGTCTGGTATACCATCACTTCATTGCATAGTTTACTAATCCATCTTTTATCTTTTTGTTTTTTTAATCTATAAGCCAACCATCTCCCAGGTTTATTTACCTATTCAAAAAAATTTTGTCTGATACTTTTTATTTTTTCTGCCAATTTTTCTTTTTCTATAATATTCAATTTATGTTTGTTTAGGTCTAGTTGTCATTTTAGATCCCTACATTGTGGTTTTTTATGTAGTTCTATTTCTAGTTTTTTGTATTCTTTTTGATACTGCCTTTTTTGATACTGCCTTTTCTTTTTATTTTCATTGACCATGTATGCAATTGCAGTTCCTCTCATGACTGCCTTGGCTGTATCCCATAGATTTTGGGTATTAGTCTGCTCTTTCTTATTTGTCTGGAAGAATATCTGCATTTGTTCTTCCATCTTATACTTGAATTCTTTTTTATTTAAGATTGCTTTTTTTAAGGTCCACCTCTTTGTTGTCTTCTGTCCTTTCCATTTCATTATAATAGGATTGTGGTCTGCCCATGTATTACTGTATTTTCCGGCGTATAAGACGATTGGGCGTATAAGACGACCCCCAACTTTTGAGAAGATTTTCAGGGTTTAGAAAGTCGTCTTATACGCCGGAAAATACGGTAATTAACATTAAAGGAATGTGTCCTTATATTCTGCTACAAGCATGTATGGCTTCCTCAACACATTGTACTTATTTTCATTCATTAGATTACTTATTGTTATGTCTGGCTTCATATAATACACCAGATAAATATGTTCTATGATTTCATCCAATGAATTAATTTATAGTTCAGTGTGTTAGATGACCCAGGCAATTGGGTCTATTAAATACGCCATGGATTTTGGTGTGCTGCAAAAATACAGCTCTCAAATAAGCCTTCCTGAATCTGAGCACTTTTCAGATATGACAGTTTTAACTCCCAGAATTTGCCAACCAGCATGAACATTTATACAAAATCTGGGTTAATGCTCTTATTTCTGAAGAGTACTTATGTAGCAGAAGACGCTGTCAGTGGATCTGACAATGCAGTTCAGCTCAATACCCCATCTACTTCAACAGTATTTCCCACAAGACCTCCTTTGACTCCTTTAAATTTAATTTAAAACAATTATATTATTGTAAATATCTGTCACTGGTTTATTTATTCTGTTATCCTCGATTCTACTGTTACCTTGTTTCCATACAACAAACTCATACAACTCTATTTCTTTCTTTAAAATCTATTATTCTTTTTAATATTGGGGGTTGCACAAAACAATGAAGCATAAAAGTACAATAAATACAATCTGAGTGCATATAGTGATTGGCTAGTTTATAGTTCCATGGATGGTGGGAATGCTACACATTTCTATTAATTTCCACTGGTTTCTTGCCCATCTCTCTGTTGTGCGTCTTTACATTAATAATAACAACAACAAATATTTCATACACATACCCAACCTATTCTATATCTGTACCCATGTTCCTGAGAAAATGTGCTGGGGTTTACAAAGGCTTATGGGTTTTTATAAAATGTGCTTTTAGACTCTGAGTATAGGTGGTCCTCCAATTACAACAGTTCATTCAGTGACAATTCAAAGTTATAACAGACATTGAAGAGACCTATGACTGTTTCTCTAACTTACGACTATTGCAGCATCCCCATGGTCACATGATCAAAATTTAGACTCTTGGCAACTGAGTCATTTGTGACAAGCAAAGTCAACGGGGAAGCTAGATTCACTTAACAACTGCAGTGATTCACTTAACAACTATGACCAGAAAGGTCGTAAAAATAGGGCATAACTCACTTAACAAATGTCTCAACAATAGAAAGTTTGGGCTCAATTATGGTTGCAATTTGGGGACTAGCTGTATTGGCTCCCACCCCTGTGATTGTTATTATGCAAGGCAGTTTCTTCCAATTCAGGGTTAGGAATGTCCTTTGGTAGCCAAGGGCTACATTGAGAGGAACCGGGCACAAAATTAAGACAGAAAAGCATCAGATAACTTGTACCTCGCGCCCTGAAAACGGACACCGTGGTCCTTGTCAGAAGCAAACAGGTGCTTCGTTTCCCTCGTTCTGTTTTTCATTCTCACTCTGATAACTTAAATTGCAGCCAAGGGCTCGAACTAGAGATGGACCAGGCAGGGTCCGGCACCTTTTGAGAATTGTGATATCGCTCTGTGAACTGTTTTTAAAAGGATAGCTTCGAGAGGCGCCTGGAAACGGGCTATAGGAGGCACCGAGCACCGACTGCCTTTTGCCCTCGGCTGAAGCCTAACATGGCCTGAAGTTGTCCCGCTCCGACTCCTCCACGTCCTACCCTTTAAAAGGAATATCGCAGCCTCAAACGGCAATCAAGAGACTCGCCATTGAGGCAAATGATGGCAAGGCTCGGCTCTCCTCGCCTCTCTGGTGCTGCATTCTGCTCTGTTCCTGTATCCGATTCGTACCGTGGGAGAAGTTGCTGGTGTCATTCTTGCAATAGCCGCAGCGGTAGCCGCTGTCTCCCCCCAAGTACTCCACGATGCTCAAGAATCCTCCTCCCGCCATCTTAGTCACCCGGCCGGCTACCTCCGCCTTTTGATAACCCCGTGTCCGCCAGTCCCGCCAGGGACCTCTCGAGCGCCCTAAGCAGCCATGTCTGCGGCCGCCATTTTAACGAAGGGCGACGGGGAGGGCCTCCACTTGCAAGCCCATCTTCCGGTTGCCAAAGGCAAAGCACGGAGCTTCCATTTGCGGGGCCAAACCTGAAGCTAGAAAGGGGGAAAACTCCTTAAAGGCTGATTTTTATCCCTATGCTTCGGTGTGACAGCCTCCAGAAGATTCGCATCCTTGTTCAAGATAACCAGGCAAGTTTTATTTATTATTTATTAATTTATTAAATTTGTTTGTCGCTCATCTCGCCGCAAGACGAAGCTATAATAAAAGTGTTAGCCTGCAACAGATTGATACGGCTGCCTTACTGGGCTTTGGCTTCAAAAACGTTCTGACAGGCAGAATTCCACAGAAACAAGTGCAGGTTATTTTTAAAAATGTGACTTTCAAATGTGTCTGTCTATCTATTCAGGAGTTATATATATGTATACATATTAGAAGTTTAGGAACTACTACCGTATTTTCCGGTGTATAAGACGACTGGGCGTATAAGACGACCCCCAACTTTTGAGAAGATTTTCAGGGTTTAGAAAGTCGTCTTATACGCCGGAAAATACAGTAATATCTATTGTTACATCATCTACATCTTAATTTAATTCTTTCATTGTCCAGACCATATCAATTCTAGACCACAATTGGTGGCTCCCAGAATAATATGTAAATTGTTTTACGTTCAAATTTCT